CATCTCCAATGGTACTGCCAAAGGAGCTGCCAAAGCCATAATTTGGTAAGAGTGAAAAAAGAAGATCTCCAATGGCCTGCTATTTCTCTTGCTAAATATAGCAGATACCATTTTTGTTGTTAAATTTGATAACAAAAATGGCATTTTCCAAACATGCCACATCATAAAAATTAACTGATTTTGGCTCCAAAGCTCAGTTCATCCTCTCCCAGAAAAACATCTCAAAATGTTTAATAGTATTTTTTTAAACGAAATTCACTAATATTTTTTTTGTCAAACATAATTCATTTATTTATTATAGCATCTGTTCCTTCAATTTTTTTTCTCATAATAAATTTCACCAATTTCTGCATTTCCCAAACACAAATTTCAGAATGATCAGTCAAGAATTTGTTTCACAAATTTCACAAATATTTGGAACAATCAGTCAATAATAAATTTCAGAATATTTCCCAAACACAAATTTCACAAATTTCAGAATGATTAGTCAAGAATTTGTTTCACAAATTTCACAAATATTTGGAACAATCAGTCAATAATAAATTTCAGAATTATCAGTCAACACAAATTTCACAAATTTATATAAATTTCTGAAGCAATCTAGTTTGAATTTATAAGATGAATACCTGGACTCCAGTATGATTTCGGAGAACTTGTTCTTCATCTCAACCAATTCCTAGGTTTTGCACTTTCAATATTTGAAAATCTCATAAAAGATCTGTGGGTCTATTGTATTTTTTTCACCTAATTTGGTCTGAAACAGACACAGATCAGAGAGAGGGAAAATGAGATTGGTGGGTTTCCAAGAAAATGGTAATAGATAAATGGGTTTGATGATGGTGAGATGAGATCTAAAGAAAGAGAAAGAGGGTGAATAGGTTTGACAAAGATGGAGATATGGATATTTCCAATCCAAGGAAGAAAGAAGGAAAAAGGGTGTAAATGTATTGTCTTCAGAGAGAGAGAGAGAGAGAGAGAGAGAGAGAGATATGTCTTGGAAGGATGATTTTAGGAAGAAATAAAAAGATGGAGATATGGATATTTCAAAATCAACAAATAGGTTGATCAAAAAGAAGAAGACGATTCCAGCAGAAAGAGAGAGATATAAATGTGTTGTCTTCAGAAAGAGAGAAAGATGCTCAGCCTACTTTGATGAAAATGACGATGAGAAAGAGATAACGGTGTGTTGTCTTGGAAGGATGATTCTAGATAATTAATCTCAACTATTAGTTTGGGGTACATGGACGATAATGATTTTGTCTTGGAAATAAAAAGAGCCGTTGGGCTCAGTGTGCCTTAAGAGAAAAAATTAAGCCTAATGTAATGTAGTAGGATTATATTTAAATTTGTTCCCTGTCTTTTGATAAATTTGTTTTTTTTAGTGATATATTTTTTAGTTGGGTGAATTATATTTAATTTTTTTTTTCAATTAATTTTTTTTATAATAATTATCTAGTCGGGAATAATATAAATATATAATTTTTTTTTGAAACAGTTAAAAAAATATCACAAAAGACAAAAAAATAAACTAAAAAAAATCACTAAAAAATTTATATCCAAACAATACCTACAAATTTGGAGGGAAAGTTGGTTGAGATTTGCTAAAATAGTAAGTGATCATTGGAGCACCATTGCTATTATTTTGCCAAATTATAGCAATAGCAATGATATTTTAGTAAATACCATTGGAGATGCTTTTATTGTGGTAAGTTGAAAATCACTTTTTAGTTTCAAAATCATTAAAAATTACCTTATTTTTTACGAAACTACCTAAATTTCTTAACCTAATTTTAATTATTACCAATCAATAATTAAATTTATTTTTACTTTTAGTGTAATGGTCCAAAATTATTTATGTATGATACATAAAAACCACCTTCATGCATCATACAAAAATCCTACGAATTGCCTGTTTTGTTATACAGAAGAATGTTTTGCGTTGTATTTACTTTGTGTTTTTGTTTACTTTTCTCTTCGTGTGTGAGAGTGAGAAAGAGAGAGAGAGAGAGATGGGAATGCGGGATTTGATGAACTCAAGCAGTGAAGCGTAACGCACCCGATATATCTTTCTTGAGAGAGGCATGGCGGAGCACTTACGGTTATAGTTGGAGTGCGGTCAGCAAAATCGATAACGCTGGGAGGGTGGGAGTCGTGGAGAGGGTGAACCATTACCTTCCCGATGAGGAAGGCAAGGCCAAGATTGGCCGTTTCGCCAAAAACGCCGCCGTCTACGCCTGCCATGAGGGCCTCAAATGCCTCCCACTCCCAGGTCTTCCTAATTCCCTCCCTCCCACCTCATCATCATTGCATATAAATACATGTCAATATGTGTGTGTACATATGAAAATCCTAAGTGATTCGTGATTAGATCAATATTAAAATATTCCAAATCCCAATTATTCAAAACACGCAATCTAAATCATCAAGCACTTACGAAAGTGATTTAGATTGTGGTTTTTCTGAATAAACAATAAATCGACACAAATGATTTTTACGTGGAAAAAATCACAATTGAAGAACCTTCAATTGTAATAAAAAAAACCACGGGCGAAACGCCACTAATCAATCCACTATTGAAGAAAGAAAGATTACAAAGATAACACACAAATCACCCAACTCAGTCAATTTGTCTTCGAATCTTCTGTAACTCTTTCACCACGCCTTCATCTCGGAACTAATCAATCCTGAAGTTGAATCCACAACTTCACTTGTCGAATTAACGACTACATACAGAATCAAACGCCTTTTGAAACTCTACGTTTGAATCTTCGGAATCCACCGAAGAATAACACTCTTGTATGTATATGAACAATCTCCTTGATATGTGCTTCTCAAACCATGAGTTGAATACTCATTCAATTTTATCAAGGAAAACTCACAAAAAACTCTCCAGAAGAAAACCTTAGAAAACCTCAAAGTAGATCTGAAAGAGTAATCCTAGTTTTTGGAGAAAACCAACTACTTATAGAAATCCGGATTCTGAAGCTCGCTTGAGCGAAGCTTCTCTCGCTCGAGCGAGAACCTTAACTCGCGTGATTTCCATAAGTGCCTTCGCTCGAGCCACAAAACCTTCGCTCGAGCGAGCATTGAACTCTTTCAGGTTTTAAGTAGACGCAGTCCTTCGCTCGAGCCACCAATGCTTTGCTCGAGCGCACAATCACCTCTTTCAGGTTTTATGCCAGACGCAGTCCTTCGCTCGATCGAGTACTCCTTCGCTCTAGCGAGGAAGACAAAACAGTAAGGAAATTTTACAACTCGATTAACAAAGTTGTTCACGGGGATTGACAAGAACAAGGGTCCTAACAATCTTCCCCTTTGTCAATACCTAGACAAAACTTTCTAAACACAATCTCCAAACCAAACAACCAAACTAAAAACCAGCTAAAAACCAGAAAAGGAACAACTTGCAAACCAATCTTGAGGGACAAACATTCTGCACAAAAGTAACCAAGCTGCACAATATCAACTGGAAAAAATTAATTATGCAACATAAAAACCATCAAGACAAAAAGTTAGCAATATACTATTTAAACATATGATATATCCTGCAAAACATATATACCCTGCGCAATATACTATTTAAACATATGATATACCCTGCAAAACATATATACCCTGAAAAACATATGATATATATGCAAAACCTACTTCCCTTTTTTGTTCGGGAGTGACGCAAAAACAGTCAAAGATATCATAATAAAAAACTATCCAAAGTAAGAACAAAAAACTGTCCAAGAGAAGCATATACCAAAAGCTAAGAATGAGAAGATGGTGGCTGCTGCAACTGAAGAAGAGAAAGTATCTGAGCAAGCAGGGCACTCTGCTCATCAAGGCGGCCATCAAAAGCATCAAGGCGTGCATCCAAAAGATCAAGGAGACGAGTAACAGTCTGCCCGAAGTGCTGTAGCTGTCTACGAAAAGAGCGAGGACGCAGCTCAAGAAGATCAGGACCACCGGCAGTGGTTGCCTCAAACTCCTCCTCCTCTGCAAGGGGATCATCATTACCTGCACTAGAACTCCCAACCCCTGACACACCCCCCTCACATGAGCCTGACTCTGGGAAACTGTGAGCTTTGTGATGGGTTTGACAGGATGTGCAAACTCATCATCATCAGAAACAGGAATATCAAGAGAAGTGAGAAAACATGTAAGCAAACACCCGTAAGGAAGCCCCAAAGACTTTCGATCATTTTCGAAACAATCATCTCTGGAAGATCAATGGGAAGTCTGTGATGTATACAATACAACACATATCCCTGGTCCTAGGTAATGTGCGAGGAATGGGTGGTGACATAAAGATTCGCACATACAATGATATTTAAGAGACGGAATCGAGGAAGCAACTCATTTTGCTGAATGAGTGCCCCAACAAGCCAAGTCCGGTCAACACCACATAACTCAGAAGCAACACGATCAAAATCGACACTTGACCGAGTAAGAAACGGAAAATGACAATTACTAACTTTAGGAAGATCAAGAAATACCCGAAACACATCCCCAGTGATAGCAAGTGACTGCTTCCTAACCCAAGTCATAAAGGATGCCGGAAGTTCTTTCCGAATGGAATGAATATTGCAATAGAATTCCCAGATGAGACTCAAATTTTGGGGCCCCGAAAAATGAAACACTTGATCTCTGCCTAATGAATCAAATAATGACCGAATGGTAAGAACCTCAAAGGCACTGGGGAGGACATTTCGCTCTAAATGGACTTTACGAGATGCAAACGACTCCCTAAACAACTTAGCCTTTTCTTTTGACTCGAACTTTTCAGTGTTGAAAGGGGGACGGGAAACAGTGGTTTTACGACGCTTGGATGACTCGGCCATGACTAAAGCAACCCAAACAAAGCAAGACACACACAGAAAACCAATTAACCCACAACACAAAAGAGGGAAGACAAATAGAAAAACATGGACAAGACACCCAAATCCCCAAATCCAAACCAAAGAATACAACAGCAATATTAGCAATCCAGTAGGGAGATAAAATCAAACTCATAAACATAGCAGATAAATGACTTGAATAAATAGAGTAATCAGAAATTAAACAGAAAATCTATGGACTAAGACTACAAATTAAACACTAAAAGATTAAACCAACCCTCATAAATTAAACCAACCACAGAGATTAGAATAGGAAAACATAGGACAAAATATAAAAAAAAAATAAAGAACAACCCCAATGTGAAGTCCTAAATCAAAATCCTGAATTTTAAACCCTAACAAAAAACAAAGAAAAATGTGCGAAACCAGGAACTCTAGATGCATGTGAGAGACACAAAGCATAATGAAACAAAGCAAAATCATCAACGAAGGACCCTAGATGAAACAGAGCAACCTCACAGATACAACTCAGCCCAAGTACCACACAAACCAAAAAAAAAAAAAAAACTTACCAAATACTGAGAGAACAGATGAAGACAAAGACAATGCTCCAAAAATCAAGAGAGAAACCGCAGACGAGTCCAGGAATGGAGAGTACAAAAACCCTAGGGGAGAGAGAGAGATAGAAGAAACACGAAGATGTGGGAAAAATGAACTAAAGAGACACAGTTTCAGAATTTAAACCTTGAATGGTCGCTCGAGCGAATACTTTCTCGCTCGAGCGAGGTCAATAATGCACAAGGGTTCGCTCGAGCCAAGAACTTGTCGCTCGAGCCAAAAATACACGCTCTCAGGTCGAATGCAGTAGCAGAGGCACGCTCGAGCGAGGACTCCGTCGCTCGAGCCAAGAAGAGAAAAAAACAAAACCCAAAAAAACATGTTTTTTTTTTTTTTAAACAAAAAACCATGAGACTCAATAACATGAAGTGAGACCTGGACCATAAGTAGATGATCACATTTGGCCAAAATTGACACTAAGATGAAATAATCTGCACATCATGAATCCTGTAAACTTGCAATTTTTTTGAAAAAAAATGACACTGGAAATCATGAGCAAAGCAGATAAAATATAATCAGTGATCATAAGCTACATAAGAATGTACAACTCAAAATCCAAGATGAGACCTCACAAAACAAAGTGTGTGTGTGCAATCCATGAAAGTCCACTGAGCGAGAGTTAATCCTCGTAGTGATCGGATGGTTGGACCTCCGGCAAGAGTAACTGAATATTACAGAGAAAAGTCAAACCACTAGGAATCACGGGGTATTTGTTGAGTAAATGCGGAGGCTCCCCCTAAATCAATGAGTCCCTTTTTTTTTTTTTTTTGACTTTTTCTTTCCTGTGGGCACTCACTGGCGGCATTCACGCTCAAGAGTATGGAAACCAAACCAGAGAAGAATGAAATCATAAAGGAAGGCCTGGTTGGTGCCTCTGAGGTAGCCTTTTCCTAATGCCTGGACTTCAAGGCACTGAGGGAGAAACCGTGGAAGTGAAAAAAAATGGTAGATGGTTAAGAGACTCAACATCACCGATGATATACTAGTATCGGTCAATTCCACTGTAAAAGTACAAGAAACACTGTTAGTGGTCCATAGAGAACTTTGATCACTTGTGCGGAAACCCCTGCAGCAATTTATCTCAAGGATGTGTACAAAATGAGATCATGAGGTTAATGAGCATGGGCATTCAAAATGAGCTACGAACAAAGAACAATGAGATCTTGTAAGCAGCATGAGTAGTGTGTACATAAAGATGTATGCAAGTAAAACAGAAATCAATGACAATGAGATTATAGCATCCAAACACACATAAAACTAAACACTCACACCTACTCAAGGAACAAGTAACACTCTAGTGATCGAGCATGACACCTAAGGTCTTTATCAGGAACTCAAACCGAAGAAGATCAAAGGGTTTTGTAAAAATATCAGCTTTTTGATGCTCAGTGGAAACATGCTCAAGAACAACAAGGCCTTCTTCTACTAACTCTAGAATAAAATGATGACGAATGTGTTTGGTGCGAGAGTGTTGGACAGGATTTTTTGAAATGTTTATGGCAGTTGTGTTATCACAGAAAAGAGTGAGAGTGTTCTGTTCTATCCCATAATCATGAAGCATTTGCTTCATCCACAGCATTTGTGCACAATAACTCCCTGCAGCAATGTACTCAGCCTCAGCAGTCGAAAGGGAGATGGCATTTTGCTTTTTACTATGCCAGGAAACCAGATTATTCCCAAGGTAAAAACACCCCCCGGATGTACTTTTCCTATCATCAGCACACCCTGCCCAGTCGGCATCAGAAAAACCAGTAATTTCAGCTGTAGTATCAGTAGAAAACCAAACCCCATACCCCAATGTCCCATCAACATATTTAATGATGCG